CTTTGCCTGCAGATCCCAGACACACCAGTCCTCTCCTTTCTATCCCTCCACACAGACCAGGCGTGTTCCACCTGAATCAGGGCTTCGGCACTAACCATTTATGCTGCCCAGAATATTCTACTCCCCAATGTGGTAGAGTCCTCTTTGCCAGTCAGATCTCTCTGTGAATGTCACTTCCTTAGGTTGCTTGTCCCTGAAAACCACCGCATCTAAAGAAGACATCAGTCACTCTCTAATACAAACTCTCCGTTTTAGGTTTTGCTATAAAACATCAATATTTGATTTTTTATTGCAAATTTTAAAAATTGTAGGTTGGGCATGGTAGCTCACGCCTGTAATCCCAGCACTTTGGGAGGCTGAGGCAGGTCAATCACGAGGTCAGGAGTTCAAGACCAGCTGGGCCAACATGGTAAAACCCCATCTCTACTAAAGATACAAAAATTAGCTGCCTGTAATCCCAGCTACTTGGGAGGCTGAGGCAGGAGAATTGCTCAAACCCGGGAGGTGGAGGTTGCAGTGAGCTGAGATCATGCCACTGGACTCCAGCCTGGGTGGCAGAGCAAGACTCTATCTCAAAAAAAAAAAAAAAAATTGTGCACCTGCCACACCAAGGTGGGTGAGCCCCAGGAGGGTGAGAACCTTAGACATCTTGTTTGTTGCTGTATCCCAAATGTGCAGAACAATCCCAAGCTTTTAAGAAATATTTGTTGAATCCATGAATGAGGATCCTGAGGATTTTGAAGGGACATTCCTTTCCCGTGGATAACTGGAAAGACTTGTCTGAGAAGAGGCTGAGAAAATTATATACAGAGTGACCTGTGATAACTGATATCCAAAAACAAAATTTTCTTACAAAACCCCAATATTTTAAGAATAAAAACTTTTAGTCTCATTTTTTTATATAAAGTTTTAGTTCCAGATTATTTAGAAATTAGAGAAGATAAAAAAAAAATGTGTATCCCTGCCTATTCTGAATCCAACTGGGAAGATATTGCATTAAAAGTGTCCCACCAGCTTGACATAATATTTTGATTGGAGGTCACTTCTGGGACTAACCTCTGTGGAGCACCTTTTCCTGGTGAACTCTGTGATGAGGGTTACTGTACAGCTGAGAAGCAATCTGTCACACTGCAGGTGGAAGGGAACCTTAAGCACAGTCTCACCACAGTTCCTTGGTGTACCTACCAATGGGGAAAATGAGGCCAAGAGAGGGGAAGAGAGAAGTTCACTGAGGCCCCAGAGCTAGCCAGTGACAGAGCTGGACGTGGCCCTGCCTCTGACTCCTGCTTCATGGGGCTTTCCATCACGGTCCCCTCACCACCTGGCTTGCCACAGTCCTCTCCTCCTCTTCAGTGATGTGTCTCCTGCAGTGGTTTACCTATGTCCTGAAATGAAGAGGGAAATTTATCCCAAAGCAAGCACTGTAGGAACTGCACATTTTTAAGAAAAGTTGTCTCCTTAGATATGGGTACCAAGGGAAGGAGCAAGGCCTGAGGGGAGAGGAGAGGTAAGAACAGTCCCGGGACAGTAGAACATATTCTCAGGTGCTGGGGTGAGTGCACGAGAGGGGTGAATAGTTCTATAGGAACTTTCCAGGCCGTTGAGTCTATGAACTTTGTTGCAGTATGACAATTTGGAGAGGGCTTTACTGCTGTTACTGGGAGTGGCTCCTTGGCTAAGATCCCAGCAAGTTAGGATATTGCTTTGCTATTCTTACGTGTGGCCATCTTGGTAAAATATTTTCAATTTCTATAGCAGCAACCCATGAGCAGTTGCGGGATTTGGGAGGACTCCACAGTCTTAATTCCTCTGCTTGGGACACTTGTCCTTTTCAGGTTTCTGTTGTTGTCTCTCCTCACTTATTTTTAATTTGATTTATTTATTTACGTGTAGGTAGGTAAGTATGAATGAATACACATGAAGTAGGAAGAACAGGTATAACAAATTCCATCTACTTAGCTTCCACATTATTGACTTTTTCTTGGTTTTCTTAGCAAAGGATTTTCCTGAAAATTGCTCAGTTTTTAAAATGGTAAGCAAATTTTCCTTAGGTACTGTAAACCAGGAGTGCCTCCTTGTGTTGCAGCTGGGGAAGATGAGGTGGTAATTGAAAAACTCCATTGGCCAGGTGCGGTAGCTCATGCCTGTAATCCCAGCACTTTGGGAAGCTGAGGCAGGCAGATCACCTGAGGTCAAGAGTTCAAGATGAGCCTGGCCAACATAGTAAAACCCTGTCTTTACTAAAAATTCAAAAATTAGCTAGGCATGGTGGCAGGTGCCTGTAATCCCAGCTACTCAGTAGGCTGAGACAGGAGAATTGCTTGAACC